ATAAATAATAATAATACATTTTATTTATATTGCGCTTTTCTCAAACTCAAAGCGCTAAATACAAAATAAAATGAAAATAAAAATAAAATGAAATACCCAGATAAAAAAAAAGAAGTCCTTTGATTTTTTAAATAAACTTCAAGCTCTCACACACAAATATTGATAAATGGTTAAAGAGTGCATATATTTATTAGGCAAGACATACTTTCTGTCTGTTGACTTTTCCCTGTTCGTTCTTTGGCCAGATTTAGTTTGTTTCCTCGTCTCAGAGGCTTTATGAGGTACAGCAGTCTGTTCATTATGTCCACAGATGATGATCTGCTCTACAGGCTCCTCTTGTTTAGAAACATTCAGCTCATCCGCATCTTTGGCTAGAGAAATAAAGGCCAAAGCATCAAGCAAAAGCAACTTTGGAAAAAGTAATTCAATACAAAAAAGGCTTTTCTTACGTAGAGTTATTGGTCTTGTTTTTAGTCCAAATATCTACAAATACTTAAATTAAAAAGCATTTAGACAAGTAAAAATATTGTATTGTTTTAAGAAATAATAAGTCAAAATTAAGTGGATTTTCCTGTAAAACAAGCTAAATAATCTGCCAATGTGGAAAATAAAATAATCCTACTTAAACCCAGAAACAAGATTTTCACTTACCCCATTGGCAAATTATTTAGTATTTTTTTAAAGAAAAAAAGCAAAAAAAAACTGAATTAATTAATTATTTTTTAACAAAACAATATTTTTACTTTTCAAAAAAAAAAAAAAAGTATTTATGTATTTATGTATTTATGTATTTATATATATATATATATATATATATATATATATATATATATATATATATATATATATATATATATATTTGACTTAAGAATTTGTTGATATATGAAAAAAAAAAGACAAACGCTCCAAGTTAACATAATAAAAGTAATACCTTTACTTTGACTGCACATCTTTTTAGCAGAATTGTTAAAAAAATTGCAATTATGTGTATCCGTGTCTTGTTTTACATATCTACAAATTCTTAAAATCAAGTAGCATTTATAGACTAGTACATATATTGTTTCGTTTTAGGAAATAAGTGAAAAATAGGTGAGTTTTTCCCTGTAAAAAGCAAATTAATTTAAATTTAAATTTAATTGAATAAAAAAATAAAAGATTTTGCTTAATTTTTACTTTAAACAAATCTTTTTTTAACTTAACTTTTTTTGCTATTTGGACTAGAAAACGACTAAGAAAAGCCTTTTTTGCAGATTACATAAAAGCAATACCATACCTTCACTTTGTTTGTTCGTCTTTTTTGGAGAATTGTTGTCTAAAACAGGGGAAAGTGGTTTATTCCGGATCGGTTTCTTTAGATTCAGACAACTTTCTATTGTTGGCTGTCCTTGACCTGTCTGTAACACACAATGCAATATTTAGTCTTAAGTATTTATTTATTTCTGTTTTTACTTTTATTTAGAAAAACAAAACAAAAAATTTACAATATAAATCAGCAAGTAATCTGTAGAGATTGGAATACAAGTACATACAATTACAGTATGATAAGAAGTAACACATGAGAACAAGTTTAAGAAATTGAGAAAGTATTTTTGCACTGATGAAGCATATTGAGGTAAAGTTAATGTTATATTCACACATTCGTTCAATGACAACTTGTGGCTGGCTAAATTGTTTATGGTACTTTGAATATTCAGTCTGAAATCACATACAAATATGACTTGAAAACGACATATTTATCTGACTGTAAACAACTTTAGTCAATCGCTGCTAATATGATCTGAGTATTCAGAATTTGCAAAGAATGCTGTAGTGAAATTATATTAAAGTTTAAAGTCTGATTGTATGAATACAAAAACACGTAACTTTACCTCAATATGACGCGTTTGAGACAACAACATACAGGGTAAACAAATGAAATAATACAGATCATTTCACCTACCGTGGGCTTGACTTGCTTGTTCTCTTTAGCTTCTTTGTCAGTTTTCTCCATCACGTTGATGTCTGCAGGTCTCCGTTTGGCAGAATAGGACTTTTTGCCTAATTTGTACATTAGAAATACATATTTCTCAAAATATTACGTGAATAATGCTGCAAATCGACAGGATTTCATTATCAAAACACTACATTCACTACGAAAAACTCGAATATAACGGTAACTTATAACATCTGCAGCATGTTCTCGTCAATAAACATCAGAACAACACATATAAAGGTTTTCCCGCAAACTAAAATAGTTCGCTAACGTTAGCTTTAAGTTGTATGCTAATAATGTTTTTAATTGTTTTACCTTTTCCCATATTGGAGTAGATTTCCAACCACAATCAGAAAGACATGTAGAGTTGCAGAACTGCGGCTGCTTGGGGTTTTAAAAATCAATCGTAGTGTTCATTGGTCAGATTCTTGGTTAGGAGGCTTGTGATTGGTTTAATGCACGCGTGCTTCGTGACGTACTTCCGACATGAAATTTGCGGTTCTCTAATGTTTTTATTCATTTTCTTTCAGCTAAATGAAATATTTTCAAAAATCAATGCTGCTTTGAGGGATTATCACTATTAAACATCAATAACGTAAGCTCATGTTATTCATTTTCCTTAGTTCCTTTATTAATCATAGGTCGCCACAATGAAATGAACCACCCGCATATGTTTTACACAGCAGATGCCCTTCCAGCTGCAACTCAGTAGTTGGGAAACATCCATACAGTCTTATTACCACACATACACAACGACCGACTTAGCTTACCCAATTACCCTATAGTGCATGTGTTTTCACTTTTAATTCAATAAAATTTATCTAATGTTAGGGTTCAAATGATACAGTTAATTATACCTGAATGTGTTTAAAATCATTATACAATTGCAGGCATCAAAAACACATGCAAATGATAATTATAATCAGCGCTTGTAAATTAATAGTTTCCGGAACAAAACCCAGAAATAAGTTACTAAGACTGACATCCGCCACACAATTTCAGTTTGCCCAAAACATGACGTTATTAAGTGGTTATTGTGAAATTTCTGAACAGTCTTTAATTATTTTGTGCAATATAACGTTATAGGTCAACCATGGATAAAAACAAGCATGTAGTTACACTGTAAAACCCAAAAAGTCATTTAAGGAAACTGATTGCAACAATCAATTAAGTTCAAACACTAATCTATACGAGTACTGTGAACCTACTCCATTTAAGTAAATAAAGCAATTTGAGCACAGTGAAACCCAATAAATGAAGAAAACTCAAACCCAAAAACTCATTCTATATGAGTACTGAGAACTTACTCCATTTAAGTTGAAGTAATGAGGTATTAAATTAACTCTTTACCTTCAACACCGAGTTAAACTCTTTTCAAATGAGTAGAAATATCTTTCAGTCAATTTTGAGTTACTTATCGATCAAGTTGACTGTCGGGTTTTACAGTGTACAAACATAAATCGTATAAAACATCACTATTCAGATTGTTTACACCACTGACATTCAGTTCACTTCACTATTATGTGCCAAGCGAAAATGACTCACTCTGTCTAATCCTCAAGAGCCCACAGTCACCTCTTCCGTTGTTTTCTGGCTGACTTGGGATCGCTTTGCTTCAGTCTCCTGCTATCCTGATCCAGAGGCGCAGCTTCATCTTTTCTTGTTCATTATCAGATGTACTTATGGTTTCAATATATATATATATATATATATATATATATATAGTCTCTGGCATTTTGAAAACACAAATATTATTTAGGTTGGCTACTATGCCAAACAGTAATCACCAACTAGTGTAATTGTAAACGTTAGAAAGCTGATAAAAAACGAAAGTGACTATCTTTATGTGTGTGCGCATGTGTACACAATGCACACAACTTTGCTTAGTGTTTTTCACTAGGACTCATTCTCTCTCTCACGCGCACACACACACACACACACATACACAAAGACATGTGCAGATATTCACAACGCAAATGTTAATGCCAAATCAATCAAAATTTATACCGGAACACAAATATCTGACATTTCCCAGAAGAGGATCCAGTAAGATCCTCCTCAAATTAAGCACTGATCATAATACAAACCCAACACTGCATATCCTGTGATGTGACTATTGTGAATGATCACATCGTGATATTGATGCTGAAACCATATATTGTGCAGCCCTACGTTTAACCCACCTTGGTAAAATTACTGACTGTGTTTACATGGACACCAGTGATGAAATTATTTGCCTTAATCTAATTAAAAGATTAATGAATGTTCCTTTCATGATCCCGTTTTACATGTTATAGCACATAATTCAATTAACGTCATTGCATCACCACACCATTCACGTTTTCATGTAATTTCGGGTGTTTCGTTTGTAATCTGTCGACTTTAACTGCAGTTTGGCACTTTGACTTTCAATCGTAAACATTTCATGCATGCCCCATGACAAACGAGATATCGGATGCAACTATGAACTGCTGGAAGAGTGTTGTTATAATGGATTTTGATACCGCACGCTGTATGGGAGAAAAAACCTCCGCAGTTAATGGTGTATGTCTGTGGTCTTCACTGACTCGGTAGGTGCAGAGAATAGTGTCAAACAGCCGTGTGTATGGATTATCCAGTTGCAAAACGCAGCGAAAAGTCCTACATGATAGTAATAGTTTGATTGCGATGTTTACATGTCTGTACTGCACTTTAATAATGCGACTAAAATCAGCATACTCCACATGTCTTAATCCCATTTCTCTTTAGTTGGATTATGACCTTAATCTGATTAAATTAATAAAAAAATTCTGTTAAAATGGTCGACTCTTAATCAGAGTATTGTCTTAATCGCATTGAAATCTGATTATTGGTGTCCATGTAAGCGTACCCAATGTGACTGGTGATAGATTGAGGTCCCACAGATGAACACAATGATTTATTATAGCTTGTTATGCTGAAACACGAATATATAAACTAGCCTTTAGGTGATTTTCGCATATTTTTTAATACTTCAAACAGCAAACTACTGCCCATCTTTCAGAGGCTTGAGTTTTCAATTCATCAAGACACATTTATTCACAAGCTTGAATGTTTTCTCTGTTGGCAGTTTGTTTAGTTCATAAAACACTGTCCCAAGCACTGCGTTCATCCACAGTTTCATAATCAACACCAATGGTGTAAAACTCAATTCCTGGAGAGCCGCAGATCTGCATAGTTTATCTCCAACCACCTCCAACCCACACCTGCTTAACAGTCTTGAACACCTTGAACAGTTGGATCAGCTGGGTTTGATTAGAATTGGAGCAAACTGTGCAGAGCTGCGGCCCTCCAGGAATCCAGTTTAAGACCTATGATATACACAATGCTGAAGTGCTTCTGTACATAGTTCATAACTAATAAAAGATATTAGAAATCATGTGGATTTGTCATCTTCTTGCTTTGAGTTGAGCATCTCCTTGAATCGTCTTTTCTTCTCGATGTTTTCGTTGACTTTTCTCCGCTTGTCCTGTTTCTTTTGCATGGATTCCTTTTTCATTTTCAGCAGTTCACTCTCCTCACCCTTATACGCCACTTCAAGTTTCTCGCGTAAAATCTCTCGGGCTCGCTTTCTGTTCAGATCCACCGATCTGGTCTCGTGACACTGCAAGAGAAGAAAAGATGACATGTGATTATAATAATAGTGTGGAATTGACAGATCTGATCTGCTTGAAAGTTATATATACAGTTAAAGTCAGAATTATTAGCTTCCCTGAATTATTAGCCCCCCTGTTTATTTCCCCCAATTTCTGTTTAACAGAGAGATTTTTTTCAACACATTTCTAATCATAATAGTTGTAATAACTCATCTCTAATAACTGATTTATTTTATCTTTGCCATGATGACAGTAAATAATATTTTACAAAATATTTTTTATCAAGACACTTTTATACAGCTTAAAGTGACATTTAAAGGCTTAACTAGGTTAATTAGGTAAACTAGGCAGGTTAAGGTAATTAGGAAAGTTATTATATAACGATGGTTTGTTCTGTAGACTATCAAAAACAATATAGCTTAAAAAGGCTAATAATTTTAAAATATTTAAAAAAAGGTAAAACTGCTTTTATTCTAGCCTAAATAAAACAAATAAGACTTTCTCCAGAAGAAAAAATATTATCAGACACACTGTGAAAATTTCTTTGCTCTGTTAAACATCATTTGGGAAATAATAAAAAGAGAAAAAAAAAAAAAAAATCAATGGGGGGGCGAATAATTCGCACTTCATCTGTATGCATAATTTGCACTGTTCCTTAAGAGATTGGTCAAAATATATAGAAATAGATATAAACTATTGTTACTTTCAAAACTTTTTCTTTTAATAATTGGGGCTAAAGTTATTGCTTTTGAATATTATTTTCAAATATATTTATACACATCCAAAAAAATGAACACTACTTTATACTTTACATAGAAAATCATATTTAAGATTGTATTATTTAATCATTCCTTTTTAGATGACAGTAAATTTAGAAATTGAGGTAAAGTTGGGTTTCACCATTCAGACATTCTCCTTAATAATATAATATCAGAAAAGTACTCTTTACAAATTCTTTTTTTTAATAATTATTTTTTAGGGGTTTTCACCTTTATTGATAGGACAGTAGAGATGTACAGACAGGAAAGTGTGGGGAGCAGAGATGGGGGAGGGATCGGCAAAGGACCTCGAGCCAGGAATCAACTCTGGTCGTCTTTAGCACCTTGGTGTTATGTGTTGACGCACTAGCTATTGGCGCCGACCTCTTTGCAAATTCTAAATAAGGAAATCATATTAGCAACTAATGACTGTTAAAGTACATCATTGTTTACAGTCAATTTCATAGTGCTGATGTTGTTAAGTCACAATTACCGGCGATTTCCGACAGAATATTTAAGTTATCATGGTAAACAATATAGGGACCGGTAAAATGAACAAATGTGCGGATATAAACTTTACCTCAGTGTTGATCTGGATGCTCACCACAGGGTAAATACTCAACATTATATCATTAAGTGGTATGAAAGGCACTGTATGGCAAGCATAAATAGCAGGGCTGACACGAGAAACTTGCTTGATTGAAAGACGACAGATTTATTTGTATATAGTTTACTGTACTGTAGTAAAATCTAAAGTTTCTATGGTAATTACTGTTCGTTCATTATAGTTATTACTACATTTTGTAGTGTAATTCATTAATAAAGAGTTGTAAACACACACACACACACACAATAGTTATTGATAACATTAAGTGTTTCCCTTTACTATGAATTACTGTAGCATTTTAATTATTTTTTAAGTAGAGAAGCTAATAGTTTAGTTCACTACATTTTTTCGAGTAGCTTGCCGAATATTGCATTTTAGCATACTATACAGTATGGAAGTATGCGGTTGCGGACAAAGCCAATGTTATTAATCAGCCTTAAAATCGGGCTTTAACGTCAAGAGGGGTGTGGTTAAGAATGTTGCTATGCAGTTGCTATGGAAGCCATCAAGGTGACGTCAACAGAACGACCGTTACTCCAAACGGTCAGACTCTAATTAAACAATTATTGGATTAACGTACACGGATTAATTATTTATTTAATTAATTATTCACTTAAAGGTAATTTTGACTTCACGTGGAAACTTTAAATGCTATTTCGGCTTGCCATACAGTGTCCTTCATTCGACTTGAGTAATTTTAATGATATAATTTTGAGTATTTACACCCTGACGAGCATCCAGATCAGCAGTTGGGCATTGAGGTAAAGTTTATATTGGCACATTCGTTCATTTACGGTTTCTATTGTTTACCAGGCTAACTTAAGGTCTGAAATCGCATTTAAGTATGACTTCAAAACAACATTATCACTAATATTGAACGTAAACACTGTTGTACTTTGATAGTCATCGGCTGCTAATATAATTTCCCTATTTAGCATTAGCAAACAATACTTTTCTTAAATATTATTAAGGAGAAAGTGCGAATATAAAACCAGCTTTACCTCAATTCAGTGGCCTCACCTTGACGACGATCCCGCTGGGAATGTGTCTGAGCACCACACAGTTACTGGTTTTGTTGGTCGCTTGTCCTCCAGGTCCAGATCCGCGAACAAACTGCTCCTCGAGCTCTTCTTCATGCACGACTGGCAACTCAATCTGGTATTTCTTCCCAGCAGCAGGTAAAACAGACGGCCAGCCAATGTCCATCACTCCGCATTTCAGCCTCCAGACTGTAAAAATGCGATGACTGAATAAAAGCGTCATATTTCAGTGTCCAGCAGTTCGCAATGTGAAACACACTTACGCGCATTCAAGTAACATTACTATAAAGAAACTAAAACAGACGACTGATTGGAATATACAAGCTGAAATACTGTAAACACACAGAACTTCATAGACCCCTTTCACTTCTTCTGTTACTTTACAATGAACCACAGAATATATTCACACCGCCATCTGCTGGGCTTGTTTAGGCTAATCGGCTGTTAGCATCACAGGCTCCGGATTTTTAGTTTTTATAAAATATTAATGCGACGTTTATATTTTATATTATGTGACTTTTGTTGACATTTTAGTAGCCTAAAATAACATTTTATTAAAAAAAAAAAAAAAAGAGAGAGAGAGAGAGAAATAAGTTTGTAAAACAACAGAAAATGAGTTGGGAGTTCATTACAAGGTTTTATACTGTAATATATACCACTAGCACAGACTATATCACTTTAATATATAAAAATATAAAGTACATGATCAAATATATTGCTTTAAACTATCAAAAATATAAACAAAAGTAACTTTTTTCGAACTTTTCAAGGTTAAAAGATGCTGACAGAAAGAAAGCTCAAGATCCAATAACGCAATTCAAAAGCATAAATAAATGGGCAAAAATGAAAGCATAATTCACAAAATATGGGAAACTGCTAATTTACAGATATTTTGTGGTGTTTAAGTGGGGTTACAATGCTTTCTGACATTTTAAATGTCCATGGAGCTGAGCTGTTCACATAATTTTGCATGATGGTAAAATACACTGTACAGAGTCTCTCAGCAATGCTTTATGGCATCATTTCACATTGACTTTGACATGTGTTTGAGGAAAAAATAGTTAATAAAAGCAAGCAAACACTTCCAATTCTTCCAATAATAAATAATATTTCACGAATATGTTCTAATGTTCAGAAATACATTAAGCTGAAGATTGAACTTCTTTCTTTCTCTTTCTCTGTACTTATGATCTGTTTGTTTTGGGAAAGAGCCTGATAGGAGCCGTTCACTTAACCTTGAAGCAAGTTTTGTCCAGTGTGTGTGTGTGTGTCTGTGATTTAAGGCGAACAACTGCCACACACCAGTTTGGATTGCAAAGGACTGACTTCATGCCTTTACTGATTATCTTTTTGTCTTCATATTTAAACAGGTATGTTGTTTGCTTGATTAAGTATTTTCATTCAGCGTGTTATATTTCGGTTATCAGAACACTCTTTTTAGGGTTTGTTTTTTGGTACGCCAAAAAAGTTACTCAGTGGAGATTTCCACTATTTAAAGGGGTTGGTGACTTTAAAACCTCCAATTTTTAATTTTGTGGCATCTTATTTGTACATTTTAATACGATTTGCTCATTCCCAGTGAGAGTTACAGTAGTTAATAAAATCATGTGAACTCATATTAATTAGGCATTTTCTGACAATATGTTAAATAATTAGGTTTCCTCGTGAGTTCGGGCTGACTTTATAACAGTCCAAATGAAAATCCCTGGCTGAATACTTCCATTTTTTGTCAAATACAGAGTTTGTGTGGGGATTTAATTGCTGTTAACTTATATAGACAGATGTGTGCTTTTCCACATCACGTTCAATCAGCTCAACACTCTGAAATTCTTCATTATTTTTAGGTTAACTTAATTGTTTTATGTTTAATCAACTTAAATTTGGAAGTTAACTTGATTTAAGTTGGGACAACATGAAGTGATTGTGTGTAACCCTGCATTTTTTTACAATGAATTTACCACATGTGGAGTCAATATTGGAACAATGCTACAAAATGTGGAAACAATTAGGTGTTCAAGAGTTTACACTTAGCTGATGACTGATTATAAAGCGAATTTGGCATGCTGACCTTGGAGAGAGCCCTGAGCTCATAAGATCCTTGAGCCCTGGTCTCCCTCCCGTTTGCAGAGTGAGAGGGGAGTTTGAGCTCAGATAGGTCTCGAGAACTCCCCCTTTGTTAAGCTGATGGCAGAATATAATTGCTACAGTAGAGATATACTGCTGGTTAAGAGCTTGACTATAGTGCTAATTTAGATGGATCAATTCACCTATGATGCATGTTTTTGGAATGTGGGAGGAAACCAGAGAACCAAGAAAGAATAAGCAAACTCCCCACAGAAACGACAGCTGGCCTGTTAAGGACTAGAACCAGTGACATTCTTGGTGTCAGGCAACAGTGTTAATCACTCTGTGAAGGGAAAGGTGGAAGAGTAGGGGTGGAAGGGGGGATTCTTTAAGGCGAATATAACTAGTAAGAAACCCTGGCTCTTTATAGTGAGTTGGGAATCATCTGATTGGTGAATCATACATTACTTAATGCAGAACCAGCCGTGTTCAATCATAATCATGTGATCCTCACAAATTTAGTTTTCAAATAAACTTCACTTAATATTCCTAACATATTGTAAGCTGTAGAAAAATTACAGTGAAGACCCAAAAGAGAGACCAACATATTTATTATTCAATATTTTACATTTTCATATGTTATCTTTGATAATGTTAAATCAGTGGACAGAGAGTTTACTGAAGTTCTGCACATTTCCATACTAAATGACTTCATACGGGCTGAACAATATTCTATTCAATTCAGCTTTATTTGTATAGTGCTTTTACAAATTTACAATGTAGATTGCGACAAAGCAGCTTCACATAATAAATCATACTAAATTGGAACAGTGCAGTTCAGATTTTTAGTGTTTAAGTTCAGTTCAGTTTAGCTCAGTTCAGTGTGGTTTAAAAATCACTATTGAGAGTCCAAACGCTGAAGAGCAAATCCATCGATGTGTAGCTCTAGATCTCAAACCATGCAAGCTAGAGGTGACAGCGGTTGGCGAAAAAGTTCAAAGAAAAAGTTTTCAAAGTTTTTTTTTTTTCAAAAAACTGAAAAAACTTCACCAGTTGGCGAAAGTGAAGAAAAAAAACCTTGAGAGAAACCAGGCTCATTTGGGCACGACCATTTTAATTTCTCCGCTGGTTAAACGTCTTGTGCAGAGCTGCAGTCTCAGCGGCGGAGGCTGGAAGCTGGGCCTCAGCGAAGACTCGTCTGTCCCTGGAGCGTCACAGGAATCAGTCTCATGCTCTCCACTCCTCCATGAGCAGCTGCTCAGGTGAGAAACCTGTGTGGAAACCCACTAAGTGATGCATTGAGTGTATGCTTTATTAAACAGATAGGTCTTTAATCTAGTTTTGAATTGGAAAAGTGTGTCTGAACCTCGAACGTTATCAGGAAGGCTATTCCAGAGTTTAGGAGCCATAAATGAGAAGGCTCGACCTCCTTTACTCGACTTTGCTATTCTACAGTAGGTACTACCAGAAGCCCTGAGTTTTAAGATCTTATAGAGCAGGTTGGATTGTCGCGAGACAGAAGGTGTAGTGGTTTTCAGCTTTTCTCTTAATGAATCAAACTCAGTCTGAATGTTATGACTATCAGAAGAATATACTTTATTGGATTTTTTTTCCAAAAAAGCAGAAACAGCCTGGAGCAGACCCATCTCAGTCTCTCCCCAGGACAAATCCAATTTTCCTCAAGTTTGCCATACCCTTTATCAGGCCCGGATTGGCTAATCGGGAGAACTGGGAGAATTCCCAGTGGGCCAGTCTGTTTTTTGGCAGCGAGGTCCGGTGTTCCTAGCTGCTTGCACTCTCAGCAGTCGTACTCTTTTCATTTAATTATTTAGTTAACCATAGCCTCACTCTCTTTATTCATTATTTGCAGCCTTGCAGGTATCACTGCAATATTTATTTTTTCTTCCTGTTGTAACAGCACCATTGTGGTCCAGTGGTCAGCATGTTGCGTTACGACACCGCTGACCCGTGTTTGAACCTCACCTGAGTGTTTATTACTACAATTTTTTTTTTTTAGCTTAACTTAAAGGACACATAGTTTACCCCTTTTTATGATTTAATGACCCCCAAGAAGACCCTCCAGAAGAAAAAAATATTATCAGATATACTGTGAAATTTTCCTTGCTCTGGTAAACATCAATTGGGAAATATTTAAAAAAGAAAAAAATTAAAGGGGGGCGAATAGTTCTGACTTCAACTGTAAATTATAGAAAAACAAAATGCTGCATTGTCATATTTTTCCAATATCGTGCAGCCCTGCTTCAGACAATTATGCTTGTAGTCAGAAAGATAATCATTTTCCATAATCTTGATGCTGAGACAGAGCCGGAGGCGCTGAAGGACAGACGAGCTAGGGCCGATTACTGTAAAGCCAGGCATGAGTATAATTCGCCCTTAAAGCGGCCGTGCGGTCACGAGACAGACCGGGAGAAATCAAATGCTGCATTGAAACTTTTAAAAACCTGAATCGGTATTGGAGTTAGTTTAGCACGCTGGAGGAAGGACGACACCATGGCTGAAGTATTACTGTTAGACAGGTAATGTTCTGTTTTTAAACTATTTTAGTCAGGCTAAGCTTATGTTATGCTTGTGCTAGCTAACACTGATGTGATTATTCTCAGTTTCATAAGGTCCTTTGACAGCATCTATAATGTAGATTTATATTTAGTTTAACAACAAAACATCAGTTAATAGCGCCTAGCCTGCTTTACTGAGCTGAAGTTGCTTTTATATTCACATTGGGTCATTTTTGAACAATGACAGCCTTCCTATACAGTTTACCATGCTACTCTGAATATTCACTCTGAAATAGCATGTAAGTGTGGCAAAGTAATAAATGTAATTCCTGCACGGCGCTGGCTTTAACTAACTGGCGAATGACATGAACTAGTGGGTTGTCTGCTGTTGTGATGCGGTGCGTGCTCGCGTTTTCAGGGGGTGTGGCTTTGAATCGCAGTCCCTCCCCGCCATTCAAAGGTATTATGCTAAGCGGTTAGCATTTTGGCAGATCACCTACTGCACCTTTAATATAACCTAATAAAAAGGAAACGGATGAGTTATAAAAGAAATTCAGCCCTCACAGTCGTCATGAAGGGTAATATTATATAAACTAAAAGCATGTTTTGTACCAGGCTGTAAGCATGTTTTTATCAGCTTTAAAATTGGCCAATTTACCATTGCAGTCAGAAAACGTCTGAATTTTCTGCAGTCAGCCCCTAAAGGCAAGTTGATGAATTGCAGTTTTAGTTACCTCCATACTGGCTTCACAAGGGAGAGCGAGAGGTTGCCGCTTGGTTCAAAACTTCTATGACTTTCTTTTTTCTGTTAAACATGAAGAAGATATTTTAAAGAAAGTTGGAAATCTGCAACCATTTTGACTTTTCCAACTATGTAAGTGGTTACAGGTTTCCAGCTATTGAATAAATGTTACATTTTTGAGTGAACTTTGGGTAAACTGTCCCTTTAAGCTGAAGATTGTCTGAAATTCTTTCTCACTCCCTCTCTGAGTCTATAGCCCTTATCTTTATGTGCCATTTAACCTTTGAAGCAACAATTCATTCTCTGTGTCTGTATGTGTGTGTGTGTGTGTGTGTGTGTGTGTGTGTGAATGTTTTAAGATGAACAACTCACACATACCAGGTCAGACTGGAAAGATCCGACTGCATCTCTTGACTACTCGCCTTTATTCTTCATATTTTGGGTCTGTCAGAGTTAAACAGGTATGTTGCTTTCCTTCATTATTAGCTCATGCTCCTGCTGTCTCGATATTCAAGTGTATTTTCATTTTCTGTGTTGTGTGTCATATTTTAGTTAGCAGCACATTCCTTTTCAAGTTAGTTTGTGATTAGTCAGGAAAGTTTACTTAAGTGTGCTGTATGTTCATTTCTGACTCTATAAAGCACGAAACACTATAGTATGTTTGCAAATGTTTAAGAGACGTCCAAAACTATAGGAAGAGCTTAAAAATGAAAATGTGTTCGCTATTCACTCTCAAACTGTTCCAAACTTTTATAAGTTTCTTTTTTCTGCTGAACACAAAAGGAGTTATTTTGAAAAATGTTAGAAAGCGGTAACCATTGACCTCCACAGTAGGAAAAACAAACACTATTGAAGTCAGTGGTTACAGGTTTACAACATTTTTGAAAATAACTACTTCAGTGTTTAACAGAGGAAACTAAAACTGTTTTGTGAAACGTGAATGAGTAAACGATGACAGAGATCTTACAGTCTGACTAGGGATGCTCATTTCGGTTAATTTTGCTAACCGACAACCGCCGCTCATTAATCGGTTATTAACGGTTAACTGGTCAGATTATATTATTAATTTTATATTAAACAAATTGACGTGTCTATTTTGTGTCTGACACATTAGATATTGCATTTTAAAATACTTATTTATTTTTATATGCTAGCATATTAATAATAGAACACAACAACAAAGCATTTTCACGCACCTGCAGTGTTTAGCACAGAAGAACAGAATAAACTAAATAAAATGAATAAAATAAATAGGACTGCCCTAAATTTTTTTTCACGTAAATAATTAATTTATATTACAAATCGAAAACAATGACTGATTATTCTTAATAACCGGCATAGGCTTTTTTTTCCAATCATATTTTTGTCCATCAAATAAATTAGCAGACTTCCTCAAATTGCCCGCTCCACGGAAAATATGCATTTATTTAATGCCCCGCTATTATTATTATAATCACAAAACCTTTTTACATTTTTATAGAAATAATTATTTTAAAGATTATGTCTTGCTATATGGTTTCCTTTATACCCCTCGTGGTTCAAGTGCGCGCTGCGTGATGAAAAGACAACAACGCGCGCATATGTTGACTTTTTGTAAACAGTTGTGTTGTTTAAATATGATATTGCATTAATGTGCATACATGCTTTATAAGCTGTAAAATAAAAGGTAAAGCCTATTTGTTGCGTTTATGACGCAGATCCAGGCCAACATCAGCGCTTTTTTTGGCATCAACACGTCTGTTTCAAACAGCAATATTCTTCTTCCATTTTGCTTCTTTGGCAAATTTGTCTGTAGGCACGGGTTATTCGTTATCGTCTCGCAAGATAAGTATGCTTTGCAGTTGAACACGGGGCCGAAAACAAGGCGGATCTCACTGCCTTTATGTTGACAAGGAAAAAAGAAGAGAAGAAGCGCGGTCCTCTTATGAAATGACTGAATCAGCTGGGTATCGATTATGCAAAACTGTTGCTGTCTGTGTTGTTACAGTTGTAATATTTAATAATATTGTGATATTTAGGGATGCTCAAAATAATCGATTAAGCGTTAACCGAAAGGGTGTGTTTGTGACCGATTAATGCTATCAGTTAAACAATTAAAATTATTATTTTATATATTTTTAGTTTGACTGCATAAGGGGCTGATTGAATGCGCCTTTGCATTAAGAGGGGCATCTTTTGCACGCGGCTCATCCCAGAGCAGCAGTTTGTGTTGTCAAGACAACTAGAGAACTTTTAAAGAGCTTGGTTTCCGCTACATTCATTCTTCCATGGCGGGGAACAAAATGCATCTTCGGCTACATACCCATTCAAAACATTCAGTTATTGTTGTTGTTGTTTTTAATAGCGGATTTTAATCGCACCAAAACGTATTAAAAGGTAAGTGAATTATAACAGCGCAAACGTTTTTGTAACCGTATAGTGCTGTGCGCTATCTGTTTAACCCTTTGATGTTACGTGCTGACTTACTGACTGACAGGTGCGCGATGCGTGAAGCCAGCAAACACGCTGAAGCTTTCAGTTAAGATGAACACAGTTTCTATAGTTATACTTTATTTAAAGATAAAGTATGACTCTGTATATCTCTGTAATCACTCTATCTTGTTGGAGTTTATAGCCGTTTCACTTTACTTCAGGACGCATTAATGCCGCTGTGAAGGTCTAATCGCTGTTTTAAGTTATCCAGAGCTGGATGAATGTACAAATCCTGAATATCATAATATTAATAAATATTACAATTGTAACAACATAGACAGCAACACTTTTGCACAATCGATACCCAGCTGATTCAGTCGTTTCATAAGAGGACCGCGCTTCTTCTCTTCTTTTTTCCTTGTCAACAAGGCAGTGAGGTGCGCCTCATGTTTTTGGAATGAAAAAAAGCACGTTAGCTGTGGTCGGCCACTTGTTTAACTGCAAGACATACTTAACTTTGCTTTGTGTTCTGTCTTTGTAGTCACGTCAATTTGTTTAATATAAAACTAATAGTAATCTGACCAGTTAACCATTAATAACCGATTTGATGAGCGGCGGTTGTCGGTTAGCAAAATTAACTGAAATGAGCATCGCTAGTCAGACTGTAAGATCTCTGTCATCGTTTACTCATTCACGTTTCACAAAACAGTTTTAAAGTAAAGCGAAACGGCTATAAACTCCAACAAGATAGAGTGATTATATGCAGAGTCATAATTTATCTATAAATAAAGTATAACTATAGAAACTGTGTTCATCTTTGTTTGCTGGCCTCACACATCGCGCACCTGTCAGTCAGTCAGTCAGTCAGTCAGTCAGCACGTAACCCCAAAGGATTAAACAGATAGCGCACAGCTATTTTGTGACATATACGGTCACAAAAACGTTTGCGCTGTTATAATTCACTTTCCTTTTAATACGTTTTGATGCGATTATAATCCGCTATTAAAAACAACAACAACAACAACAACAATAACTGAATGTTTTGAATGGGTAATGTAGCCGTGGCAGGATGCATTTTGGTCCCCGCCATGGAAGAATGAATGTAGCGGAAACCAAGCACTTTAGAAGTTCTCTAGTTGTCTTGACAACACAAACTGCTGCTCTGGGATGAGCCGCGTGCAAAAGATGCCCCTCTTAACGCAAAGGCGCATTCAATCGGCATCTTATGCAGCCAAACTAAAAATATACAAAATAATCATTTTAATCGTTTAACTGATAACAATAATCTTTTACAAACGCATCCTTTCGGTTAACGGTTAATCGATTATTTTGAGCATCCCTAAGTCTGACGACAAGCTACAATATATGATTAATTAAAATCGCATGGTGTGAGCTGGGCTTTAGGTAGGGTTATAGTCAATTTCTAAGAGAATCACGTGACTCAAATCATCAAACGTAATACCAAACGAAAGATGCTTTCTACACTCTTTTTAACATGATTGAACCGAATAAACACAGCTATATAGGTTTGGAAAAATACATTTATAATTGTTTAATGGTTGAAATGTTATCGCTATATGACACAATCAAATTATGTAGCTATAATGTTCTCTTAAAAACTGTTTTTATAAATTATTAGCTCTGCTGTTGTTTGTAAATGAGAGTCTTTATAATGTACAGCGAGAACGATCTCTTGTCCTGCTCAGTGTGTCTCAATGTGTAGTGAACCAAGCTCATGAGTGCCCTTAACAGTACTCGAATTCATGCACACGACCTACTGATCATACTTACGAACAACCTGAATGACACTCTAAAGATACCCTGAAAATGATCATGATTTAATGATAATTGATTTAAAATGCAATTTTTTTTTACTTCAGGTCTGATGGAGGAGACACGCTGTAATGTCAAAACAAGAAAGAAAACCCACTCACCGAAGAGAAAAGATGAGAAATTTTTGACCTGCACTCAGTGTGGAAAGAGTCTGAGCTGCAAAAAGAGTCTCAGAGTTCATATGAGGATTCACACCGGAGAGAAACCATTCACATGTGTTCAGTGCGGGAAGAATTTCAGACATTCCTCATACCTTAATCTACACATGTTGATCCACACTAGAGAGAAACCGTTCACATGTGTTCAGTGCGGGACGAGTTTCAGACAATCATCACACCTTAATCGACACATGTTGATTCACACTGGAGAGAAAACACATGAATGTGATCAATGCAGCAAAACATTTTTGTTAGCTCAAGAGCTCAAGAACCATCTTAAAGTGCACACAAAGGAGAAACCTTATTCATGTTCATTGTGTGGAAAGAGATTTAAATGTCAGCAAAGTTTAAAAAAACATCAGAAGATCCACACTGGTGTGAGAGAGTATATGTGCTTTGAGTGTAAGAAGACTTTTATTAAAGCTGAACATCTGAAATGTCATCAGAGGATCCACACTGGAGAGAAACCGTACAGATGTAATCAATGCGGGAAGAGTTTCAGATGTTCATCAGCCCTAAATAAACACATAAAGATCCACACTGGAGAGAAACCGTTCACATGTGCTCAGTGCGGGACGAGTTTCAGACGTTCATCACACCTTAATCGACACATGATGATCCACACTGGAGAGAAACCATTCACTTGTATTCAGTGCGGGACGAGTTTCAGACATTCATCAGCCCTTAATCAACACATGTTGATCCACACTGGAGAGAAAACACACAAATGTGATCAATGCAGCAAAACATTTTTGAGGGCATCAGAGCTGAAGAGCCATCTTAGAGTTCACACAAAGGAGAAACCTTATTCATGTTCATTGTGTGGAAAGAGATTTAAATGTCAGTCAGGTTTAAAAAAACATCAGAAGATCCACATTGGTGTGAGAGAGTATGTGTGCTCTGAGTGTAAGAAGACTTTTATTAAAGCTGAACAACTGAAACAGCATCAGAGTAACCACACTGGAGAGAAACCTTACACATGTGATCAATGCGGGAAAAGTTTCAGATGTTTATCACACCTTAATCGACACATGATGAGTCACACTGGAGAGAAACCGTTCACATGTGTTCAGTGCGGGAAGAGTTTCAGATGTTCATCAGACCTAAATAAACACATGAAGATCCACACTGGAGAGAAACCGTTCACATGTGTTCAGTGCGGGACGAGTTTCAGACAATCATCAAACCTTAATAAACACATGTTGATCCACACTGGAGAGAAAACACACAAATGTGATCAATGCAGCAAAACATTTTTGAGTGCTCCAGAGCTGAAGAGGCATCTTAGAGTTCACACAAAGGAGAAACCTTATTCCTGTTCATTGTGTGGAAAGAAATTTAAATGTCAATCAGGTTTAAAAACACATCAGAAGATCCACACTGGTGTGAGAGAGTATATGTGCTTTGAGTGTGAGAAGACTTTTATTACAGCTGGAGAACTGAAACAGCATCAGAGGATTCACACTGGAGAGAAACCGTACATGTGTTCACACTGCAACAAGAGATTCAGTGTGTTAGGAAACCTGAAAACACATGAGAGGATCCACACTGGAGAGAAACCTTACGCATGTGATCAATGCGGGAAAAGTTTCAGATGTTCATTACACCTTAATCGACACATGAGGATTCACACTGGAGAGAAACCGTTCACATGTGTTCAGTGCGGGAAGAGTTTCAGATGTTCATCAGCCCTAAATAAACACATGAAGATCCACACTGGCGAGAAACCATTCACATGTGTTCAATGCGGGACGAGTTTCAGATGTTCATCAGATCTTAATCTACACATGTTGATCCACACTGGAGAGAAAACACACAAATGTGATCAATGCAGCAAAACATTTTTGAGGGCTTCAAATCTGAAGATCCATCTTAGAGTTCACACAAAGGAGAGACCTTATTCATGTTCATTGTGTGGAAAGAGATTTAAATGTCAGCAAAGTTTAAAAGCACATCAGAAGATCCACACTGGTGTGAGAGAGTTTATGTGCTTTGAGTGTAAGAAGACATTTATTACAGCTGGGGAACTGAAACTGCACCAGAGGATTCACACTGGAGAGAAACCGTACATGTGTTCACACTGCAACAAGAGGTTCAGTTGGTCAGAAAAACTGAAAAGACATGAGAAGATCCACACTAGACTCTAAAAGGGATCCACAGAGAGAAACATGTGATCAATGCTGCAAATCATATTTAGGGCTTCAGACCTGAAGAACCATCATAGAATTCATACAAAATGAAGTCTTCTTCATGTTCATTGTATGGCAGAAGATTTACTTGAGTATTTTTTTTTTACAGCTTTTATGAAATATTCCACAAACATTAACAACATCGATCCAAAATACCAAATCAAAATGATTATGATGATGGGAAGCACAAAGACGAATAAGAAATGCATACACAATGTAACAAGCAAAGAATCTGTTGAAAATAGGACAAGTGTAAAGAAAGTAAACAATGTAAAGAAAAAAGTAAGCAAAATTAAATAAACTAAACATAAATGCCCCTGACTGGATCAATATATTTAAAAAAATCAAGCATTTATGAAATGTGTGTGAGCCATTTTCTCAAATAAATATACAATGGTGTGAAAAAAAGTGTTTGGCCCCTCATTGATTTTTTTTCTGCATGTTTGTCACAATATTTCCGATCATCAAACAAATTTAAAGGACCTGTCTTAGCAGGGTGTTTTCACCTCTAGTTAGAAAAAAAGTCAGGAAAGTGGGTGAGTCCAGGTGTGATTAGGTGGGAGTGTCGAAAGAGGGAAGGGTTTGCATAAAAAGGGGAGTTTCAGTATGTGAACTACAGCTGATTTTCACAGAGGCAAAACAAATACAAACACAGATAGACAGTGACCAAGTTTACATAGACATCAGTCATCAAATTATTTGCCTTAATCTCAGAGAGACAATAATATGAAGGTGTTTACACGATTAGCTTTTTGAATGTTCCTGTCATGATCCGATAATTTGATTAACATCATCGAGTTTTATTGATTTCGGGTGTTTCATTCTTAATTTGTCGACTTTAACAGCAGTTTGGCACTTTCAACTTTTATTCAGGAACATTTCATGCATGCCCCCGTGACAAACGAGATATTAGATGCAAGGAACTGCTGGGGGAGTGTTGTTTTAATGGAATTTGATATCGTACGCCTTAAGGGAGAAAAAAACCCTCCGCATTTCTCAGTATATGCAGAGAATAGCATCAAACAATTGTGTATGTATAGACTATGCTGTCACAAAATGCAGTGAAAATCCTACATAGTTTACATTCGTAGAGCAGCATTTACAGCGGATCTTTTAATCCATAATATTGTAGTGATATTACTGTAAACATAGTAACTAAATCATTTTGATTAAGGTTTGTCTTTAAAAACTGAAAGAGTACTGATAACCATACTGCTAACTATACTAACTAACTTTGCCATCTGTTTAAACATAAACAAAGGCACTGATCACACACTTACTAAATCTATAGAGAGAGAACAATCAACTACAACTGGATCCGCGTCGTTTTTCAAAAGGAGATGAACGGCAAATATGGATTTCACCATTTCCATATGAGAAAAGCTTTCGGGTAAAACAGGTTTCTTACAAACATATTTATGTCGCATGTTAGCAGACCACTGTAATCCACACATGCGAGTTTAGCTGCGCTCTCATAGCAGGAAGTAGAAACAAAACCTTCGTATCAGCACATTTATAAATGCAAAACTAACAACCCATCTCTCCAAACAATTCTTCTTCCTCCACTCGTTTTAGTTGCGGTTGGCAACACAACGTGGCCTCTCTCTGCCGTCTGAACACTATAACAGGTAAAACAGTCTTCGAAGCTATAACCAGGCCCAGACGGAATCTGCAGACGTTTTTTGCTATTTCTGCGGAGAATTTTGGTAAAAGTCTGCAGATTTCTGTGGGATTATTTTGGGAGTATCATAACTAAAACCTTAATATATGAAATAAAATCTAATACCTTTTAAACTTTTATTTAATGTTTAAAATGCAAATCCAATTAGATTCACTTTATTTGGTAAACAAAGCAAGTCTCTCACATAATATCTCTGCTAAAAAACATTATCATATTAGTCAATAAAATTACTGTAATTAATTAAAAAAACTGAATAAATATAGATATTACACACATTTACTCAAGTAAATAAACAGAATTAATGATAGGCTAAAAATCTGCGGAATTCTGTGTGCGCAGATTTCGTATGGGCCTAGCTATAACATGCATATTAATGAAGTTGCACTGCATACATAATAGAGTGCGCTGATTGGTTCGAACCAAGTCTTTCTCATGAATTAATGCTGAAAGCTCAAAGATGTCACGTTGTAGCCACCAGTACAGAAATCCAGTCTACATGCTGGAATTTACACAAGGATCTAATCGCAGTGACGCAACTTAAAAATTTCTTTTCAAACTGGAAGATTGAATTTGCTCGAAATAACACAAAAACAACCAATTTTCACCTTTTAGTGAAATGTATGTGTTCTAATAGTGTTTAGCAGCTTGGGACACATATACGACTGTCAACAGCTCAATGTGTTTTGGTGTTGCATGACCCTTTAAACATTAGTCAAAGAAAGTGGTTGAAAGAGTACTGAAAAATCATACTTAAGTAAAAGTACCTTTACTTGCTCAAAATGTAGTGCGAGTAAAAGTATCTGTTGTAAATATTACTCAAAGTATGAGCATAAAGTAGCCCTTTTAAGTACTCAAGAGTATTGAGTATTAAGATGTGAAAGGCTGATGCGTTTACATGTAATTTGTGCAATTTGTGTGTAAACGTAACATTCTGTACTGTATTAAGTTATTGTTGAAGGAAACTCTAAGCTTTAGACTGCTCATTTGAATTCACAGGGGTGTCAGTAATTATGGCATTAAGACTATCATCATAAAGTAAACATCCTTCATCTTCTCATCAGTGATTTGCAGTCTCAACAGTCTCTCGATCATTGCAAGTAAAGATTTTCAACATCTTCTTAGACACTTTTAATGCTTCCAAGTGGTTTGCTGCTTTATAACGTGCCTACGTCTTGAGGTAGTTCAGTTTGATGTGATTTACTTTTTCTGTGCGATTTGATTGGACAGGAGTCACATGACTGATTTTATTTTTCTAATACCCTTAGACAAGTAATAATAAAGTAGTGACTGCAGGTTGAAGGAAAGTAGTGGAGTAAAAGTATCGATAAAAATGTACTCAAGGGAAGGTAAAAGCCCACATTTTTAAAACAACTTAGTACATTACAATTCCTGAGAAAAAGTGATCAATTACAGTAACTTGAGTATCTGTAATTAGTTACTTTACACCACTGGTCAAAGATAACACAAGTGAACACATCATGCAGTTTTGAAATGAAGATTCTTATTATTAAGGGAAAACAGAGTACTGAAGTACATAGTCCTGCGTGAAAGAGTTGTTCACATCCTTTACTTGTTTAAAACCTCCATGACTTTCTTTTTTTCCCGTTAAACATGAAGAAGATATTTTAAAGAAAGTTGGAAATATGTTACCATTTTGACTTTTCCTACAAGGTAAGTTTCCAGCTTTCTTCAAAATATCTTTTTTTGTGTTCAACAGAATAAGGAAACTCATAAAGGTTTATAACCACTTTAGTGAGCAAATGTTAAACTTTTGGGTGAACTGTCCCTTAATGCATAAGAGTGTCTGAAATTCTTTCTGTCCCCCTCTGAGAGAATGCACACATTATGTGTCCACTATGAGTCCTTTAACCTCAGAGCAACAATTCATTCTGCATGTGTGTGTGTGTGCGTGCGTGTGCGCATGTTTTAAGATGAACAACTCTCACACACCAGGTCAGACTGGAAAGATCCGACTGCATCTCTTGACTTCTCGCCTTTATCCTTCATATTTTGGGTCTGTTTCAGATTTAAACAGGTATGTTGCTTTCCTTCATTATTAGCTCATATTCCTGCTGTCTCGATATTCAAGTGTATTTTCATTTTCTGTGTTGTGTGTCATATTTTAGTTAGCAGCACATTCCTTTTTTAAGTTTGATTGTGATTAGTCTGGAAAGTTCACTTAAGTGTGCTGTATGTTCAGTTTTGACTCTACTAAAGCACAAAACACAATAGTATGTTTGCAAATGTTTAAGAGACATCCAAAGTTAAAGAAAGAGTTATAAATAAAAATGTGCTCGATATTTACTCTCAAGCTGTTTCAGCTGTTTTTTTTCTGCTGAACACAAAAGTAGTTATGTTGAAAGGTGTTAGAAACCAGTAACCATTGACCTCCATAGTAGAGAAAAACAAATACTGTTGAAGTCAGTGGTTACAGGTTTACAACATTTTTTAAAACAACATCTTTTGTCTTTAACAGAGGAAAGAATCTCAGGTTTGTAATAAGTGAATGAGTAAATGATGACAGAATTTTAATTTAATTTATACTTTCCCTTTAACATACTAGCTTTTATTTGACAAACTAGTATGTTAAAGGGAAAGATTAAATAAAAAGTCTGTCATCATTTACTTTAAAAAAAGAACAACACTGTCATTCATTCTGTAAGCTGTCGGTGTTCCCACAGGTTTGAAATATACTTGCGGTGGTTGCCGGATTAAAACTCACCATTTACCCACATCACATGAATAGTTAACTATATGCGAAAAACATAATATTATTTTTAACAATAATTATTGATTTGTTTTATTATGACACTGTTATACACGGTTTATTTTCAATGTGGATACAAAATTATGTTATTGTTATTTTGGATTTTGGGTGGATACAAAAACATGTAAAAGGATGTTAAACACAGTGGAAAAAAAAGTGTCACTAAATATACTTGGGCAGCTGTTAATATAGCTGGGTAGCCCGCCCCAGATCAAGCCCATGGGCCCTATCATACACCCTGCACAGTTTGGCGCAAGGCGCGGCGCAATAGTCTTTTGGTAGTTTCAGCTTGGCGCAAGAGTCGTTTTGAGGCATTGCGCTATGCTGTTTAAATAGCAAATGCATTTGTGCGCCCATAGGCGTTCTGGTCTAAAAAGGAAGGCGTTCTGAGGCGGACCGCTGGCGCGTTGCTATTTTGAGAAACTATAATAGAGTTTTCATTAGACGCACTGCTTAATACGCACAAGAGAGCAATAGGCAAATATCTTTAAATATGAAAAAACGTAAATATTGACGAAATATATAGGATATAATAAGAATAGATATAGAATATAAATATAAAGGATTAAAATATTACAAAACATATTATTTTCTAGCCTACATAAATATGAAAAATCACTGCTTTTATGTCTTCTTCATCTCGGGAGTCTTTTTCAGTTCATTCATAACAATTTGCTTTTGTATAGTGTTATTATTATTAGCAGTATTATTTATTATATCCATATTTATATTTGTTTTATTAAAAACAAGCTTAGATTTGGCCACCTGTCAGGTTTTAGACCATATGGGGCACATCATGTGTTTTAGGATATAACTCAGGTTTTTGAGCACATTTTGCTATTATTATTCATTTATTAGTTTGCTGGAAATTAGAATTGAATTTAGAAATAGTTTTGAAACGAATATTTGCGCTTAACAAACAAAAGTATTTATTTATAGACTAATTGATGTCTGTGCGTA